CCGGTTAACGATGCTTGCATTGCTTCAACATTGCTTTCACAAGGCAACACGAAATTCAATGTCGTGATGGTTGCCGTGCAGCCGTCTAACTTAGACGGATTTAAGCTCGTGCACGAGGCCGTGAGTTTGAACTTGCCGGTTATTGGTAAGCCTTTCGACTTTAATTTCCAACGAACGTACGAATATTCGTTAAATTTTCCCTTTTTGAATTAATTGTCCCTTTTTGCCTATATTAAGTGATGTCGACTAATGCTGACCCGATCCTCGCAAAGTGCGCCATAGAAGACGGAGCTTTCCTTTTCATGCAAAACCCGCCGTCTCATGACGAGTTGAAGTATTTATGGCAGCATTTATTGAGGGAAACTACTACTCGAAAAAATAAAGAAAAGGGAAAATCGAGAGTTGAAAACTCGTCGATGAATAAGGGAATTGGTCAGGGCTCGGGAATAAAGCCAAAGATGTGCACCGAGTGGACTTTGGAGCTTCATGAGAAGTTCATGACTGCTGTGAAGATACTTGGTGAAGGAAGTATGTTTAGTTTTCCTACAAATCTTTTGCTGATATATATTATAGTACATTTGTTATGTACTTATGCTTAGATAATTCGCATTTTTGTACGTTTTGTTTGTATTTATCGATCGATCGGCTTCCATTGTCTGAAAAAAAAACTAGGATGTTTTCCGAAAGACATACTCGAGCTTATGAATGTCCCAGGGCTAACGAGAATGCAAGTCGCTAGCCATCTGCAGGTAATTTTCATTCAAAGCTAGCGTATAGCTTATTAAGATTCATATATTCAGCTTGTCAAACACTTTTATCATATAAGCTAGTTTTTTCAGTCATAAGTCATAAGCTATCAGTTATAAGGTCGAAATTCACTTAAAAGTTATAAGCTGATATACCAAAACAGAGGACTATATAATATATCTTGTCAAATGTCGACAAAACTGCCGTTTATTTATTTACTTTTTTTTTCCTTTCAGAAATGCCGACACGGGTGGCAGCCATCGGAAGGGCGCCGGCAAAAAGCTCCGAAACCGTCTAATCCGAACCAAAAAGGGCCAAAGAAATACGGGATTTTTCCGCGACTTGCAAGAGGCACTCAACCTCAAATCCATCCGCAAAACGACCAAAATGTGGAAATTCCTAGCAACATTAATATGGAAAGTTCGACAATGATGCCTGATTTATTGCATGGTTCCCAAAATACGGGATTTCAGGGGATATGGGTTGATGTTACGTGTCCAAACAACAACAACAACAACAACATGAATAATGAGATATTTTCGAATGAAAATGTGGTTAATAAAGAAAACTCATTCGACTATGCTGCTGCTGGTGAAGATGTCCTGATTCCAAATAACTTCTACTTCAACGAGTTTGATTGGGATAACGTTTTTTGGAATTCGTGGGTTTCGAACTTCTCAAAGGAGCTTTGAAGAAAGAGACTTGCTCGCCCGTACATATATATATATATATATATATATATATAATAAAATAAATATAAAGAAATGTAACTATGAGAATAATCAAGTACTAGAAGACTGACTTGAGAAAAAAAAAATGCAGCAAGTGTGGAATTTACCTTGTGTGCATTTTTTTTCTTGGAAATAGTGATGAATCCGTACAACATATGTATGGGTTATTGTGTACTCTAGAGTGATCCAGCAGGTGAATATTAGCCATAAGTATGTAAATAAGATTGTGGCAATAAGCTTTGGTATTTTGACCAATCAGACAGGAACATGGGTTTTCTGTCTAAAGCAGATCATAAGTCTCTGTGTTTGTAAATGATATGATTGTGTTGTAATAAATGTAACAGTATTTATGATATGCTTTTTATTATGATATATTTTTCAGTTCTTTCTTACAGTATGTATGGTATACTATATTTCATGAGAATTACATTTGAATTGGTGAGTAAATTAGATATTCTAGCGCGAAAACACAAAATAACGTGTCACTTCAGCATTTCAGCGCGAAAGCTCTTCGAACAAAGTGCAAAAATATCAAACATTACATCGCGAATTAGTACAATTTTGCGCGCTATAGCGCACTACAAAAATGCTCTTGAAAGCAAAATTTCATCCTCAACAGTCTGATAACAACTTCACTAGTCTCTCCTTGAGATTAGACGAAACCATATCACAACTGATCAAAATATCCCACGATTGAACTACACCTTTTCTCAAAAGCGCACGAAAGGCCCCACATATCCCCCGAGCCACAAGCTCCTTCCTCTCGAGATCATACCCATCCAACAGTATGAACAGAAACTCGAGAAGAGAATTCGTGATGTCAGCGTATTTAGGCAAAGAGTGAACCATCAACAGAACAGCTGGCTCCACATTCATGATAGTACTGTCTACTTTCTCATCAAAGAACAGCCAATCGTAAAACAAAGCAAGTTTCGAATTCGCCTCGATGTAATTTTTCACACTCGACTTAAGTAACCAACCTAAGAGAGCCCATCTGGGGATAATATCTGAATGGATAACATCGTTAGATGGATGGTGAGCACAGCATATGAATCTCACAATGTCGATTATGACCGAGTTTTTTTCGGGCGCGGCAAGAAATTTCTTTGTAAACCACATTTGGTATCTCTTCTGGCTCCCGAACTTTACACGGGTCATCAAGAATCTCAACCGAGACTCCATTTCAGGAGTTATTCTAAGCGAAAAGTACCATTTAGGAGTTTGAGTACGATAAATCATCGATATATCAGAAAACCCATCGACTCCAAAGGAGCTCGGGTTGTACAAGAGGTCTCTCCAAAAAGTGCGAAATTCGGGAATGTGAACCAAATCCTGCAGTAGCCGAACAAGATCTTTTCCAATAGTTAAACACATTGAGAAATTCTCTCTTAGCATCTTTACGCAAAAATCAATCTCCATTTTCCTTAAAGACTCGACCTTTGGCATGCCAGAGGCTCTGCAATGGTCGGCCAGCAACCTCAAGAACACGTACAGAGCACCAGTTAAGATTGACGGCTGCTCTTCCAGAAGAATGGCGCGCTCGCCGGAGAAGAGACAGAGCATCTCCAGACACAGCCACAAATTTTCCTCGGTGAAATCCCCACCGTAAATCCGCCTCAAGAGGGCCACCAGCAAGCAGTCGAGCCCCACGGCCGAGACGCGCACCATCTCGTGGGCCGCCAGGACAAGCTGCCTCCTGGCTGGGCCCACGAGCTTGTCGTAGGATTTTAGGGCGAGGCTGACGAGCAAGCCGGTGAAATACTCGTAGCCATCGGTGACGATGCCGTGCAGGTGCTTGATGTGGACTTTGAAGAAATTGGGCTCGGTTAAAATGCCGTAGAGAATTGCTCTGTTGAGATTCGAGTACTGCTCGGGAGTTGGGATGGTTAGGGGAAAAGGGGGTCTGAGGTTGGGTTCGATAGAACAGAAGGACTCTCGCAGATTGGCCTCGAATGGGTTTTCTGCTTCGTGTGGCGATCTTTGTGTTAGCTCGGACACCATTTTTCGGGAGGAATTGAACAGTGTTTGCTACGAATAATTAGGAATTGCCGGAAAGGAAAAAATAACGGGGGGTAAAGAGGGGGAAGAAAACTTGCCCCCTTTCTCCTGTGCCGACACCGCCAGACTGCCGCTTCCCACGGCGGTGAGATTAATTCAAGCCGAAGGTTGCCGGAATGAAAAAGAATTAATGGTGTTTCAAGACATGGAAATGTATTTACAGATTTTTCACGACGAAGCAGTTCAGTTTGGAAACTTGGTTGGGGCGGGACAAAGCGACGAGTTGGAGATGGTGGAAATGAGGTTTTGGGCCTTGGGAGGTTCTGTAGTTATAAGGAGTAAGGCCCAAAGTTCTTCAAGCTAACATAATATTTTAAGTTAAAAAATAGAAAAAAGAAGTATAATTCACTGTTTTGAAACTCCACCAGGTAGTCATCGGGCATTGAGCCTCCGGCAGACATGGCCAAAGCCGATAGGGAGCTCTGTTCCGTGTCAGAACCGGGGCCAACGGTTGGATGGCTCTGAATTGGCCCAAACATATGCATGGGCTTGTTCGGCGAACCGTCGGTTTGGGACCATCTCTGTTCACTGGAAAAAATAAAAAAAGGACTGAATCGTCAGTTTCGGTTCTGATTCAAAACCGGGTTGACGTTTCAAAAAGTACATATATGTGCCCCGCATTCGACCCGATCAACCATGGGCTTAGTTTAAGCTCCGTTGGCCGATTCAAGCCGTGGTCATGTGTGACTTCGGGTTACCATGTCGTTGATTCAATCCAGGGGTTATCCTGTCAATTATTGAATGGGATAATTAACTTATATATTCGTATACTATTTCATCTTAAAAATATACATAAAAATAATAAAATTAAATAGTTTATAAGTTGAAGACCATATGTCGTCAGTGCGTTGTTACAAGTTGAAGACCAGAGGTCATCTCCCAACTGGTTGGAAGTCTTATAAATTGGACAACGTATAAGCTGTAGAAGACATAAGACATACATCTGCATATCATTGTATACTGAAAGTCTCATGCATCATATACATTGCTCATTTCTCAACTCCGTTCGTGTTCGCCGGAGTAAGTTCCGGTGATCAGTAATTCTACGTGCTTCTTATTCATATGTGTCATGAACTTCGGAGTAGTCCATGTAGATTTAAACTTCTATGCCAACTTATTAAGATTATTAAAGTTATAAAACACTTGACTAACTTAAATTATATAAATATGTTTTACAAGTTAATGACATGTGTATTTGTTATCAGTTTTCATATATGATATATTAAATTAACCGTCGCTTAAAAAGCTTTGATTTGATATTCATACTTAATATATAAAATAAATAAAAAAAATTATTTATATTTATTATAAAAATGAATTATCTACGAATACTAATTGAAAAATAATAAAATTATGGATCAAAAGTAAAAAAAGATCATCTGAGCCATTATATGATATGATTAAAAAAATTTTATAATAAAAAATGATAAATCGTACAAATAAAGAGTGTTATTTAAAATTATATATAAAAAAATATTTAAAATTAACAAAAATTATCTTTTTTTTTTTATTTTTCAAATTCATGTGCAAATTTTTAAGTAACACTCGAATAATACTCTGGTTTTTATTATTTGATTTTGAAATTGAAAGAACGAATCTGGCCCACATTTATCGACGCACACCGTTGATTTGGTTGTCATATTCAATTTATGCATGCACCAAGATTTAAATTACTAAATTACCCTTCTAAAATCCAAACTAAGTGAAGATAAAAAACCATAGAAAAAAAGTTATATTTAGTTATCTAACCATTAAATAGTCATATTCTTGTAAAATTAGCACATATATATATATATATATATATATATATATATATATATAAATCTAGTACAATATTCGTGCACTACACGAGTGGTTGATAAAATAATTAAATGTACAACAAAAAAAATGTTTATATATTTTATTGAAGTTGTAAAAAATATTTAAATTCTGAAAACTAACTTATGTACATCATTAATTTTATTTATATTTTTTTTTATTTAAAACACCTAAGGCTGAAAACTTACTTATATACATCATTAATTGTATTTATAATATTTTTATTTAAATAGGAGAATAATATGGACAAAACACAAAATTTGAAAAGATATATTATATGTATAAGGAAGATAATAAATAGATTTATGTGGAATACTTTTAAATATTTGTATATATATGACTCTCCGAACCTAAGCTATTTGATTTACAAAAATTACTAATTTTTATCCGAGTCATACTGCAAATCATAATATTTTGCCACATAAGATTACAAAACGTGAGAATCTTGCACTTAGACTCTGTGCATTATGAAATTATATATAATGGAGATTTTACACTGAAATATCACTCTAAAATATAATATAAATAAATGATGACATTTTAAGAATACTAGACATTTTTTGTAACACTATATAATTATTTAACGATTAAACAACGAGACAATAAAATTTGTGTATTAAAAATATTAGTTTTGCTCACAATGTGTAAAAATAATGATATAGAAAGTTAAAACATGTAATGAGTTTTCAAAAAAAATCGATTCATGGTTGAAAATAAGTCACAAAATATCCCTTTTCTTTTATATATACATTATAGATAAATGTATCTTACTAAGTATTATATTGTAATCTAGAAACTCGATTATGTATATAATTTTAATAAAAACAATTACCCATAGAATTACATCAACCTATGTAATATAATTATACAAGATATAATGTAAGTCTATATAACCATGAAAAAAGTTACTCATAAAATCACATGAACCTATGTACTATAACTATACAAAATCTAATATATATATATATATATTCACGAGCTCCAAAGGTTAATTATGTCGATTGTTACAATTATTATTGTCTATTTCAGTTTAAATATTGCCCTCCTTCATACTAATTAAACATACATAAATTACTCTCACCAATCGAAAAATTGATCANAGGTGGTTCCATTTAAAAATAAATAAATCAGTTAGCCTTGAATTTTAAAAATTCTCATTATTTACAATTTATAGACTTAAAAATCTTAATTATCTCAAAACAATACAGTAACAGCATAGACGGCTAGAATACTTGATGAGTATCCAAACAAATTAATTCATTCAGGATTGAAAGAATGAACAAAAATATTATTTTAAGATAATTTAGGCAATTATATTACTAAAATCCGTAGCTTTTATTTAATATATCATCGAAAGTTATTGTAAATATGCAACTCAATTACGTATTGAGGACTTTAATTATATAGATTTAGGTAGAGAATTACATAAATCCATATAATATAATTATATAAGATAATGAAATTGTATCAATTGTCAAAATTAATTAATATGTAGGTTTGGTTATTTTTTTGGGTATCTTTTTCTTAATGCAAATAAAGATCAAGTTCTACACAAATCAAATCTAAATTAATATTTGTCTTTTCTAAGTACACCACTACCATATACACATGCTATGTTTGGTAAAATTAGATGATAACAGATAAACTAGTTTATACTTTTTAAGTGATTTTTGAGCTTATAACGTAAGACTTATAACTGAAAAGCTACTTATATGATAAAAATGTTTAATAAAATTAGCTGATAAGCTAGCTGAAATAAGAATTTCAAGAAGCTTATTTGGAAAGCTACCCAAAGAAACTTATCAGATAAGTTCGAACTTTTAAAAAAAGTTCGTCATCCCAAATGAAGTTTATTTGGATATAGAGAATTTATAATCTAATTAAACGATTACCAAACATAGTCTTAAAAGGAAATTCCCCTATGGTTGTTTCTAATATATTTCACCATTTAAAATAGGGATTTTCAAAATACTTCATCCCTTAAATAGGCCTTTTAAAATATTGTTATTTCCAATTATACATTTAAGAATGATTTTTTTTAAATATTAACTATTTCCCTCCAAAAAAAATCTATTTACTATTTTTGGATATTATTTAACAATTTATGGTATATATTAAATGATCACTTATGAAAATTGTGGCTCATTATTTAAGGAAGTAACTAACCATATTTTAAGGTACTTTAATTACTCAAATTATATGAATTAATTGATATATGGTATAAAGTGGATAGATTTATTTTTGATATTGATGGTTTTTTCTGTGGGAAATAAATTAATCAATATATGGTATAAAGTAAGCAAATTTATTTAGGTTATTTGATGACTGTTTTTTAGTAGGAAATTTGTTGAAAAATTAATCAATTTATGGCGTACTTTTTCTGTAATGTATTGGCTAATACATTAATTTTTAGGCGTGTATTTCAACTTGTATTTCAATTTTTCATATAAAATTAACATACTAAAATTATCGTAACTCTGACAAAATAATATGAATGGATATTTTGATATAATGTGTGTGTATTGAGGTTTTTTTATTGAAAAACTCTGGTCAATATTTTTTTTTTTTGCATTAATTAGTCGGTCTCAATTTAATTCATTTTATATTACGACATTTCAAATAATTTTTGTGTGAATTGCATTGTTCAATTTTTTTAGCATGATAAAGAGTTTCGTTTATTTGGCATAAAAAATCTTATGACTAATTGCTTTTACTCAACTACTTAAATTTTTTTATTTGAATATTTTATACAAAAATAATTTCATTTTAGTTAATGAAACAATATAGTTTTATATTTATACTTATTATTCACATAAATTTTTAAATAGATGATAAAATTTTACCAAAATAATTATTTTATAGAATCACATTATAGTCAAATCGAATTTTTGAATAGAAATTTTGAAATGACACATATATTGAAACAAATATAATGTAATTTTATCAGTTATGTCCAACGCACGAGTTGTGTACTAATTTTAAAAATAGACATTTTCATGTAATTTTGCACAATTTAAATTTTATATAACATTTACAATTAATTAATATAGGTACTTTGTATTACATATTTGATTTAACGATTTTAATTTATAAATATTATTAAATAAAATTTTTTAATTTATAAATATTAATGAATATTTTTTATCCTTGCATCGCACAAGATTCGTACTAGTTAAAAAAAGCAACAAAATTTTTTGGAAAAGGATATATTGGTCAATTAGGCGGGTTACCTGAATTCATTCAAAAGTGGGTATAAATCTTGGACTGGATCCATTTCTAACTTTCCGTGTAACATTTCATTATTGCCTCTCTGTTTCTCTTCAAGAACACCTACAGATTTTTCCAAATAAAAAAATACATATATATAAATAAATTTCTGGGTGTTCGAGGAGGAATAAATAATTGCTCTCACTTTCATCCGGAATTTTTAAATTCCGGATTGATTTCCCAAGTGAGATTTGGAGTTTCAATTTTTTTATCCCAATTTGTTTTTTCTGAATCTCGAAGGGGTTTTCTTCGTGTTATATATGATGGTGAAGGCGATGGGGTCGTTGCATTCTGAAGATTTTACCGAAGAACAATATGGGTCTCTAGTAAAGCGCTCTCGATTTAATCAGGTTTGTTTAATTAGGTTGTTTTCTACAAAAAAAGGTTCCTTTTTTTTTGGTGTGTGTGTTTATCGAGTTTCAGGGCTTTTAATCTGTTCTCCATTGGGTTTCGTTGTAAATCTTCTGTTGCTATACTCATGCGTGTATGTATATGTAATGTGCTTTTATGGGGAAGCTGATAATTTAATGCAATGGGATTGATATATGTTTTTAGTTATAGTGGAGCTCCATGACAGGGATTGAGAAATTCCTTTTCACGCATTTGGAGGAATTAATTGTTGAGAATATGTGAACTTAGCCTCTACGTTTTCTTTTGTATAACCCTAAAACCCAGTTGTTCGTTTTTCGGTTTACCGTATATCATGTGTAATATTTCCTCATGATTTGGAGTTCGGTTTTCAGCAGTTGAGCTCTGACAGCCATGCTGTTTCAGTCCCACCCTCGCAGTACAATCCACTCGATGAGCCAAGTCCTCTGGGTTTGAGGCTGCGAAAAAGTCCATCATTGTTGGATTTGATCCAGATGAGACTCTCTCAGGGGGGTAATGTTGGTAGTTCGATGGCCCCGAGTGAAATTATTGATTCTGAAAGCAAGAAAGATGTGAAGGGCTTTTCTGCTCCTTCAAGTGCTGCTAATGACAAGTTGAAGGCTTCGAATTTTCCGGCTTTGCTGTTGAGAATCGGCAGCTGGGAGGTAATTTTTTTCTGAACTTTTAACTTTTGCATGCTCTTATGAATCAGCATGCTGCAGCACCTAAATGCTTCTGGTGGGTTGTTTGTAAAATTCGGTCAAAATGAATAATATCCATGTTCATGTATCAGTTGGAGTATTGAATGATATATAGCATAAGCAGATTAATAAAAATGTAATTAATATTCTGATCTGTTAAATGCCTTCCTTGTTGGTGATTTTTGGTTTTTCGGCAGTACGTATCGACATATGAAGGTGATCTGGTGGCCAAGTGTTATTTTGCTAAGCATAAACTTGTGTGGGAAGTTCTTGAAAGTGGTCTCAAGAGCAAAATAGAGATCCAGTGGTCTGATATCATGGCCCTGAAAGCCGAGTGTCCTGATAATGGTCCTGGCACTTTAACCATTATGGTAAATTTTACCCTTTTCCTTCTTTTTCTTCGGTTATTATTAGTGGCACCATAGTACAATTTATAATTTAACGGGATTTTTAACATCTTTTTTTTTAATCTTGTGTGCTCAGCTAGCTCGCCGACCTACCTTTTTCCGAGAGACCAATCCACAACCGAGAAAGCACACTCTGTGGCAGGCAACCACTGACTTTACTGATGGACAAGCTAGCTTAAATAAGTAAGCTTTTAAGTTATATCCTTATTTTCCCCCTTTTTGTTGCAATATTCAAAATTCACTCGTATTTTTTGTCACTGTAATAATGGTTGGTCAGTGATTTTAGAACCAACATACCAATTTCTTCTGAAACGTGAGAAGAAAAATCATTATTCGCCTGTTTTGCAAGCTTTGTGTCAAAATTTTAAATGCTCTTATAGAGTAAAACTTGGCACAGATGAGATTCTAGTTGACATTAGTTCCAGTGATGTTTTGTTTTGAGAGATGCGATTGTAAGGAATCTGCCATATTTCGATCTTAAACTGGTATTTTATGATATTTGAGCAGGGTACACTCTTTACAATGCCCTCCGGGAGCATTGAACAAGCATTACGAGAAGCTCATACAGTGTGATACTCGTCTTAGTATCCTAACCAGACAACCTAAAATAGATATGGGCTCGTCATACTTTGACCCTGACGAAGTTTCCAGTGAAGAACATTCTTCGGAAGAATTCAAAGGTGCTGCTAAAGAATCTCCTGTCTCTGCTTTTGAGGATGCTGCTGCTCGGTTATCTGCCTTCAAGTTTGAGCACGAACATTTCCCCCCGAAAAACGTGTCTAAAGTTTCATCACCTAGCTCAGGTACAACATGATTGTCTTAACATATTTAATTTGTTAATCTGTTAACCATGTTTTCAAATATGAGAAATTTGTTCTCAGATCCTTAGGGGATGATTGGAATAAATTTTCTCAAAAAAACCCAATCATTTTTAACCAATTACTTTTTTTTTTTCACCTCAAAAATCTAACTCAACTTTAACTCAATCCAACTATTTTCAATATTATCAATATAGTTAAATAATACAACTCAATCATTATTACGTCAACTTTAATTCACTATTCATCCACTCATATAATTTTAACTAACCATCACTTCACATCATTTCTCTCCTACTTTTACATCAAATCAACTTTAATTATTTTATTTTCGATATTATTTTAATATAAACTCAAAATCCCACTAACAACTAACCATACCATTTTTCTCAAAATTAACCATACCAAACCAAAAAATCCAAACAAAATCAAATCATTTTATATCCAAGTTTTAGTTCCTTCTCTGACTAATCATGCATATTATTTACTAGTAATAGATACACAAGTGGTTAACGAGTGTGATTATGAAGGGCACAAAAATTCGGAATCGGTTAAAGTGCCGGGGCTACGGCCATCGATATCAATGAGCGACTTCATGAACCAACTCGAAAATCACATTTCCGAGCAGATGACTTCTAGAAACCTGCCTTCGGCTAAAGCTTCAGAATGCCAAGCAATGCTCGACAACATTGCCCAAGATCTTCTGAACGATACTCAGTGTTTGACGGGACTCGACGAACGATCACTCATGAAGAAGGTAAACTCACTCTGCAACGTGCTCCAAGTTCAAGACCCTGCACGTGAAGCTGAAGTGCTCTGTGGGCCCGGCTCAGCAGAAAATGACTGTTTTGCCCTCGTGAGTGATTCTACGGATGACACTGTGGAGACTACTTCAGAAGGGTCGGTCGAGGCGAGTCGCGCAATGCCAAGAAGAGACTCGTTGGGGGATTTGCTCGTGCATCTGCCACGGATTGCTTCCCTTCCGAAATTTTCGAACTTTTTGTTCGGGATAGATGAAGATGATGAGTACGACTGGCCGAACTAGTGGTTTTTTGCCGAGATATGTGTGTGTGAGTGTGTGTATATGTTGGTTTTGATGGGTTGGTATGGATTCAGTTTGGGACTCTTGACAGGATTCTGAAATTGAAGTTTGTGAAGAATCCTGCTTAGTTATTAGTTCTAGGAAAAGGATTGTGAACTCCTTTGGTCATTTTCCAGATTTTTTTTAATGAAAAAATAAATGCCTTCTTATGATTTTTACTTGGGTTTATAGTTTATACATAGGTAGAAGAATGCTACAGAGAATAGCATTGCTGTTTCAATCATGCTGCAATAACATAAAGAGTACATGATTTTTGACATAATTAGTATTCCACCCTTTGTATTTGCACAAATATAAATAAAATATTATAAGTTATTTGTATGCATATAATATTAAAATTATAACTTAGATAATGTTATTATGTTTTAAACATTAAGGTATTATAAGTTATGATTATGCACATAATATTAAAATTACAAGTTACATAAAATATAATAAATAATGTAAATTTTGTAATTTTGAAGGACTATGATGAATTAATTAGCTAAAAAATATTAAATTTATTATAACAATTGCTTATGTGATTTCAAAGAATCTTACTACGAGCCTACGACATTAAAATAAATTAATTTATTTAAAAAACAATCGCTTAATCAGATAATAACTTGAACAAAGTGTTTGTACAATATAGTTTTTTATGTTTATGTAACTTTCATATATCATTTAGGTTAATATAATTATTAATTTTAGTAATAACTAATATATAATACAATAATAAATATAATTATTACTCAATTAATATAAAATATAACATTTTTGTTTTAATTAACCTAGAAAAAGTGCAAGAAAATATTTTTCACTAATGAGATAGGATGTAATAATAATAATAATAATAATAATAATAATAATAATAATAATAATAATAATATCAAATTGTAGCGATTATTGTATTAAAAAAATGCCAGGTAAAATTTATTAGGTTTATTTAATAATTAGCTAGCGATTAAATATAATATGTCATGGTCATACACGTCAAATCACTTCTAAAATCAACCACTAAACATTCGATTCTTTTACCGAAAAAGAAAAGCAAGAAAAGTTGTGGACATAAAAAGAATAAGAAAAAAGGGAGTGGAAAAGAATAGAAAGGCCGTATTCCTTGAATACGTTTTTTCAATTTTTTATTTATAAAACGTATTCCGTGAATACGGTTTCCTTTGTAAAAAAAATGTAAAAAACGTATTTAAGGAATACGTTTTTTAATTAAATTACACAAAAAACGTATTTACGAAATACGTGCTTTCTATGTTGGTCCACTCCCCCCTTTTTTTTTTGTTTTTTGTCCACTTATTATTTTTTTATTAATAAATATATAAACTGCCCCTAAACATTCACTTCAATTTTTTCATATAATCATTATTCATTTTTAAAATCAACCACTAAACATTCAACTCACTTTTTTCATATAATCATTATTCAACTTTTGTGTTTCATTTTGTATTTTAGCAGTTTGGTTTCTAATTTGAGAAAGGCAATTTAGGCTTTATTGACTTATTTCATCTCATGGTTCGCTGGGCAAGAGAGGATAGGTAGAGGTAGAATCATTATTCAACTTTTGTGTTTCATTTTGTATTTTGAAATTTTTCATATAATCATTATTCAACTTTCAAAATCAACCAATAACATTCACCTCAATAATAACACTCAGTTTATGCTATGTGAATTAGTGTTCCATTCGTTGATTGTCATGTGTTAAAAAATTCTAAATCATAGAAAAATCTAGCATTAAAGTTGCTCTGAGCTACAAAAAAAAACTTGTAATGCTATTATGTTTTTAAATTTATAAATTCCAAAATAATAATATTGAATATAATGACATACTGTAGCCATAAATGAACTCAACTAAAATATGGTTTATTCAATTTTTAAACTATATTTAATTTAACATCACAAATGCTGTTGTTAGAACTTAGAAAACAGAATAAATGCCAACTACAAAATACCTCTCGAGTCGTCATTCTACCATAATTCACCAGCATATTGTACACAACAATTTCTCTCCTGATTGCAGTAGCATCACATCACCTCAATAGCACAATAAAAAAATAAAGACAATAAATAAAACCTCTCCTTAAGCTTATTCACTTAAATAATAAAAAAAAATCCAATAAGCAAACAATCACTATGTACAAATCTGCAGCTGTACACAAAATAAAAGATGAAATCAAACTCTCATCAAAAGAGTATTTTACCATGCCATGGAAAAAATCAACATCAATAAATTATATACACTTCATTTCTTCTTCTTCTTATTCTGTTTCCCCCTTTTTCTTCCATCACATCTTATAGGCTTTTTCTTTTTTTTTTTTTAAAAAAAAAACAAGATCAGGAAGGAGGCGAATGAATCGTGTCGGGTAACATGACTATGGTAACTACGAAATATTCACACCCGACCGTAAGCCCATATGGATTTTCTAACGGTGTTGACTCCGAAGTCAGAAAGTCAACTCGGTCCTTGGTGTCGCCAGCTCGTTCGGAAGTCAATGAAGGTGTTGACTTGACAGTCCTCCGGTCAATATGCACAATTTGGCCGATTATGTAGTTGGGCTGGCTAGTGAGGTTGTCAGTGAATAAGGCCAAAGACTCGGACGAAAGAAAATAGTAAGAGTTGTTATGGTTGATCGCCTCGTAAAAGCCAGTGGAGGTTAAAATGAAAACGGCTATTTCATGGACTTCAAGCCGACCGAAAGATATCTTCTCTTTGTTCGCCTGCAAATAAACATTATCGTTGCTTGCTTTTAATCATATATGGTAGGTTAAAGGCAAGATTGCATTTTTAGTCCTGCCGGTTTAACACCACAACAATTTTAGTCCCAAGGTTCCAACATTCCGCTTTTTTTGTCATGTGATTCAATATTTTGCTGCAATTCCAGTCCTTTGAGGACCGAAATCGCAACAAATTCCCAAATTCCCGATTAGCAATTTAAGTCCTGTAATTTAAAATTTTGTTACAATCTGAGGACTGAAATTGCAGCAAAATATTAAATTGCGGAACCAAAAGGCGAAAAATTGGAATCTTGAGACTGAAATTATTATGACGTTATACAAAACAGGACCAAAAATGCATTTTTTTCACGTCGGTTAAACTTGTACTTAAAACGCCAGAATCTACTCTCAAATGTGATGGCATAATCACGAGAAAAAGATCGGTTGTCTCAAACAACCCGCTGTAAATTTTCATTTTACAAGCCAAACCAATTGAGAGGCGTAAATTGTAATTTTAAGGTAAGTCGAAACCTCGGAGTATCTTTCATAATGTTAAGGTTAAATGAAATGTACCCTTGAGGTTCGACTTAACTGTGAAAAAGAAAAAAAAGAAAAAAAAAAAANCAGAACAGTTGTAAAAAGAAAAACAACAATATTACCAATAATAAGGCTAAAAAGGAGTTTTGCAAATATACCTGCTTTTTTTCTAGTTGATGCTTGAAGTAAAGAGTATTGACCAACTCACTCTTTTCATCTAGCTCCTTACTAAGCTGTTCGTTTGCAGCCTCGATTTTGGAGTGCCTGTCGAGTAACTCAGCACGCTGTCTCAACAAAACACCAACTTTATCAGCAAGCACACAAAGACACTCACGGAACTCGGCTGTACCGTCATCTTCACTTCCATCGGCAACACTGAAAAATGGAATCAGAATCAACTTACTAATATTAGCAAACATAAAGGACTTGCAGCAGCAAATTTCAAGTTCAAAGGGACTTGCACCAAATTTGATGTAAGACCAAGATTTGTCACTTAGACCCTTAACCGAACCATAAAAGGTAGCCAAAATTTTTTAAGTAAATTTCTAGTAAGATAAAAAGAAACCAATATTAGATGTAAAATAATTGCATGTACACACACACCTGCCTATAGATTGAGCTAAATCATGCAAAGAATTGGAAAAATTTGCCACCCCAGCTGACAAAACACAATTTTTAAGCCTTTCAAAATGCCCACGCATTTTGACAGCAGAGATCCGCAATGAGCTATATTCCAAAGACCTACGATCAGCAGCACAAAGATTGGTTTGGGCTTCCTTTCTTGCTTCATGTAGAGAGTTCTCCAAATGAGCACAATTCATCTGCAAAATAATCATATAGACAATGATCGTATCATATAGATGATTTCTTCTAAAATAATCAAATCTTTCATATTTAGATAGCATATAGGAGACTTTCCCAACACAAGTGATCTCATACAAGTGATAATTTTTAACAATTCAACTTTTGGTTTATAAGAAACCCGACTAAATGCCATTCATCAATGGCTGATGGCTCCCAAAGGATCAAAACTTACATATCCAAGATAAACCAAAAAATATAGTAGTTTAGCTTTTCTCCATTTCGAGTGTTTCTTATCAAAATATCTAGAAAAAACTGATGAAGGAAAGAGTAAAAAGTTCATAATCCATGAGAAATACCTGAGATTCATCAAGAAGCTTCTGACTCATCTCCAGCTCCTTCCCAAGCTTCGAAACCTCATCCACTAATCCTTCGATCTTCAGTTCCGCAATCTCTAATTGACTCGATTTCTTATCTAGGTCTTTTTGCAATTCAATCACAAAGGCATCACTTAACTTAGCATCCAAACCCGATTCATATGGCTGTGACATGCTAACAGCCATATTACTTGAAGCCAGTACCATGTCTTCATCACCCACTAACCTCCCTTTCTTATTATCTTGGTCAAAAGTTTGTCCATTATCAATCTGTAAATCCACCATTGATGAATCCAACTGAGGATTTAGCATCATAGACGAATCTGCCATATTATTATCAAGCCCGGACTTTAATGAGCTCGACCCACCAAATCCCTCTTCCAATACTTCTGACTTGTTATCGTCAGTCTTTGCAGTTGAAACTCCAGAACGTTCTGATGCATCCTCGTCATTTTTAAGCTTAATAATCCCATACTGATCAGATAATCTCTGCTCTAGTTCACGAATCCGCTTCTCGTAAGACTCGCACTGCATCTGTTTGGCTTTCAGCACAGACTCGAGCCGTTTCTCGTACTCCTCTTTCAAATGCAAGGCATCGGATGTCTTATCAGCCGCAATCTTTAGCACGTTATCCAACCTACTCTCGTCGAGTGATTCATAATCCAGCTCAGCACTCATGGAGCACAACAATGCGATTTTAGACGCGAGCTCTGCCTTGAGTTTCGCATTCTCGATCGACAACCCGAAATCACACTCGTCGTTAAAGCCAGCCGCGCTAGCTTCAATTTCGCCCGAATTCGAAGCCCTGGAAAATCCACTCCGGCAAGAAACTCCCAACACAGACTCAGGGGCAAAACGGTCAATATCCGAAAGTTCTATGTCGAGCAGACTAGTGTCAAAGGGGGTCACATTGACATTACATGGGTTGGGAGTGTCATACAATCCCATTGACGCTAAAATGTCCCGAGGAATAAAAGTGCTATGCACTTTTGAAAACTCGTCACGCCTCCCGATTTCGAGTTCCCTCTCGGTTGCGAGCTTCTCGGCCAATCGCCCAGCTTTGCCAATGTAGATTTTCATCTCGGATTTTCTCCTCACGACCTCGGCAAGGCAAGCCCTGTATGCAGTCCCTATCCCACGCACCACTTTTAAGTGGTGAAATTGCTCGTTTTGGCGATTTAGGGCCTCCTGGAAAACAGAGAACTTGTACCGTACGTTTTTAATGGTGTGCTGTATGTATGTGACCTTCTGCATGTAGTTGTGAACGAAGATGTTCGTCTCGTTTTTTGTGTTCCTGCAGAAATCGAGCAGACTGGAGATCGCGCTATCGCACGATTGCATCTTCGGAAGGTAATTTTTCTCGTGGCTGTCGTAAATGGGACCCAATGCAGAAACGGCATCGTGAGGACGCAAGGAAGATGACAGCTCGAGCTCGCCCGAGAGACAATCGTCCACGAGTTTCTTTACAGTGTTCACATCTTTGCTGCACAAAAACGGACATAACAGTGCCACTTAAAAATTACTCATGATACCAAAAACATAGAAAGCAAAAAATTAAAGTAGATTAAGCCATACTTGCGATAAATCTCCCTTCAAGATTCATCATAAATTTCCAGTTTCACTTTCCCACTAGGAATTAGTGAAATTATAGCATAAACTTACATAGAAATGGACATGCGGCTTGTCGAACACAATCTCTGAACCATACGTTTGGTAGAAAAAATCTATGAACCAGCATTAAGTAGATTGACGAAAATCCCCACATTTCACAATAATTTCACAATAAAGTACAACAAACAAACCCGTTTTATATTAACATTTAAACCATCTGAGTAGCAGAAAATTGGCTCGTGATACACACATTCCAAACATTTAGAAAATGAGAGTTTTTCACCTTAAAGCTTGCATTATACTCTTCTGCTCATTAACAACGTGTTGATGCTCCTTCAGTGCCATATCCATTTCCTTGACAAGATACCAGCCCTGGCCCGCCGTAAACAAATTCTCCACATTCCGCTTCAAATCTCCAAACTCCTGCTTAAATTCCGAAACCTTATTCTCAAACTGCCTATGCGAGTTCCCACAGTCCTCCACAACCTTCCTCAGATTCTCCTCCTTCACGAAATCGAGCAGGCACTTCCTATTACCTGTTTGCAAAGAGGGATGAAGCTTCACAGACCTCAGCCTTTCCATATCCCTCCCAAAATTAGCCAGCAGGCTCGTGTGCCCACGGTGCTGCTGGGAGTAACACTTCATGAAGTCCGCGTAAGTCTGGAGCACAATCTTGTAGAAAAACTCCAAATTACCCCTCGCAATCTCTAATGCCCGTTCTTGAACCCTCTGCTCACGCAGCAGCCCTCCACACACATCAAATTTAGCATGAGTTCGGCTGTAAATTGCATTCCCACACTGAAAATGGTACCTAAACTGCCTCTCGTATGAGGGCAGGGCCTTTAAGGCGGGGTCTGCGGAATTATCTAACGGATGGGCATTTTTTGAAGGGGACAATAAGGATGGGTTTGGGATGTCGATGATCTCGATTTGCTCGGGTGGAGGAAGTGGTGAACTACTGCGCATTCTCGATTTATTGAATAGAAACACTTCGCGGCCTTCGGCAGGGAGTTTGTAGGCTGACAGCTGGCAGTGGGGTTCGAGTTTTGTGTCCGCGCCGCACAAGAGGAGCTGATCGTTGACAGGTATTCGGCAGAGTGATTCTAAGTACTTCTGCACGGACTCGACAGGAGTGCATTCATCACAGTCCAGCTCGTACGAGTGGCCGTTCTCAGCTATGTGTACCGCGAGCTTTCCCATTTGGACCACGCTGCTTTCGGAAGCACTAGAAGTCATTTTCTTTTGCTTTTTTTCGGCAGGATGGCCTAAAGATTGGAACTTTCTGCAGATGCAAAAGTGGGATCAGCTCGATTCCCCTTCTTCAACGATGGATTCAATCAAAAATTCATTTTTTATTTTTTTTATTTTTATTTTATTTTTGGGCAGAAAAACCTCCAGACCAATTAGTCGAAGGCCATCAGTGCTTCTTCACCAATTGGACTTCTCATTAATTTATTTATATATTCCAAATTTTTCCTTTCACCGAACCCGGATAAACATAATCAACTTACGAATTTCTGATTGCCATGGATAAGCAGCAGAACCCCTCGCAGAAAGGGTTATACATATTAATTAAACTGAAAAAGGAAAGATTTTTCAGAAAACCCACCAAATTCAAAATCAGGAATCCGCAGCTTTATCCCGATTGCAATTCATCCCTGCAATCAATCAACCGACAACTCACCACAAAGGCAGACCACACATAAGACATCGTAAAATGACTATAAAAGACGAAATCCTATGATAGCTAGAGTCTACAGAGAGGATAATTCAAACCCTCAACCTGTCAACTGCGAGAAATCAAAAAAGCATCCAACACGAAACCCATTTGATTTTTATGGGTTTTTCCCTGCGTGCGCCACACCTTTGGAAATGGCGTGAGAGTGTTCTTGGTCGATGAATGATTTGATCTCATTTTTTTTTCTCCTTTCTGTTTTATACTCTCACCAGTAACACTATATATTTTATTAAAAATCTTGCTTGTATAAAAAGAGAAACTTGGAAACTTGGCAGCAGGCAGCCACAGCAGCCGATATAAGTTCAAAGAAGGAAAAGAAGAGACTGAAATCTGAAGAAAAATGGAGTTTTGCAATTTTATTTTATTTTGGCTATTAATTAATATTATTATTAATGAGTAGATATTTTATTTATTTATTTATTTTTGTAAGTGTGGTATTAAATATAGGAGAGTACGATGTATGTACAGTATATGCGACTCTTCGGCTCCTTAGCAAAGACTCTTTGCTATCTGTATGGTGTTGTCCTTTTGAGCTATTTTTTTTTACACTAATTTATGGTTAAGTCTTTCTTCTTTATATGGGTGTAAATTATTATATTACTAAATAGGGATTGCATAATAATGTCAAAATATTTTTTGGAACTGAGATATCAATATTAGTGTCCGTATATCTGGTACAAGAATTTGAGACTGGATATTAGATTTAAAAAAAAAATCGATAAAATGGAAAAAATGATTTTAAAAAAGTAAAATAAAACTGAAGTTGTTAATATGAAAAAAAAATTAATAAAATGATTAGGTTGATATGATATAAAACTTAACACAACATTAATTTATAAGATTAGTGGTCATAAATATGTGATGAATTAATAATTTTTTTTAAAAAAAAAATGCAATAATATTTATTTTTTAAATTGTATAATTGTAATTATAGAGGAAAAAAATGAGATGGGAAGAATAATACACAGGTATTATACATTATTGTATTTAAAACTGAGATGGCCATAAATATGTTTAAAAAAATATTTAAATATTAAAACATACTTTTTCATTACTTTTAAAAACAACTCACAATATTAAGATATTTCCCAAAAAAAATCATAAACCCAAAACGCTCTTTCCTCCACTTCTTTCAACTTTCAAGTTTCAACTGCCTTTATCCTTTCACCGTTCACTCTCTCACCAGTGGGCAGTGATCCAAAAGGTACGATTTTTCTTCATATACTACAGCTCGAGTTCGCTAACTTAATCTGGGCCTTTTACAAAACATACAATTTGCATTTTCATCTATCCACTGTACTCAATCACTGACAATGAACTTCGCATAATCAAGATCAGCTTTTAGCAGAGGCCAGTTTTGCTTCCATGGCCTCTCTAAAGCTGCCCTTCTCACCAGATAACAACCCTTTTGAGTCCAAGAAACTCATATCTGCTTTAAATTCCTCAAATTTTGCTTCAAGTTCCCTCTTTTCGGGTTATGTGTGCACAAGTGGGGCAATTTATGTGAAGCCCTTTTGTAAACTGAAACACTATAGGGTTGCAAGGTTGAAGGATGAGTCTCTGAATACATCTGAGGCTAAGTCGGATGGAATTTTAGCGGATAGCAGGAGAAATGTGGCTGATGAGGGTAATTTGACTACAGAAAGCCAAGTTCTTGTTGGGAATCTTGATAAAGGGAGAGTGAATATCTGGAAAAGGTCCCGGGCTGCTAAGAGAGTGAGAGGAAACACCAAAAGCAGTTCAAGTGTTTGTGAAAATGTCAGCAGATATAAGAAATCAGAAAATTCCATGGATGATTTAGATTTTGATAGCATCAGGCCTGAGATGAGCTCCAGACAATGTAATTTGATCTTACAGCAGCTCGAGAAAAGCGATGACAGCAAAGCTTTGAGGTTTTTCGAGTGGATGAAAGTACACGGGAAGTTGAGAAGGAATTCGCCCGCCTGTAATTTGATTTTGAGGATCTTGGGTAGAAAATCGGACTGGGACGGGGCAGAAGCTCTTGTTAAGGAGATGGTTAGTGATTTGGGCTGTGAGCTTACTTATCGGGTTTTCAATACCCTCATATATGCTTGTTACAAGAGTGGGCTTGTGGGTTTGGGCAGTCGTTGGTTCAGAACGATGTTGGATTATAATATTGAGCCGAATGTCGCCACTTTCGGGATGCTTATGTCTCTTTATCAAAAGTGTTCTGTTGTTGAGGAGGCCGAGTATACGTTTTCCCTGATGAGGAATCTTGAAATTACTTGCCATTCTGCTTATTCGGCTATGATCACAATTTATACGCGCATGGGCTTGTATGGAAAAGCTGAAATCATCATTGGCTTCTTGAAAGAAGACCGAGTGGTTTTAAATCGGGAGAATTGGTTAGTGGTGCTAAACGCTTATTGCCAGCAGGGCAAGTTAAGGGATGCCGAACGGGTCTTTTGTGCGATGAGCGAAGCTCGTTTTTCGCCATGTTTAGTTGCGTACAACACTATGATTACTGGATATGGGAGAGTTTCAGAAATGCATAATGCAGAAACGAGCTTCTGCAAAATTAAAGAAGTTGGTTTTGTACCTAATGAGACGACATATAGGTCGTTAATTGAAGGCTGGGGTCGAGCGGGCAATTACGAGCAGGTGAAATTTTACTATAATGAACTCAAGAGGCTCGGGTTTCAACCGTATTCGTCAAACTTGAACACTTTGATGAGATTGCAGGCCATGCATGAAGATGAAGAAGGTGCTGTTAAGACAATCAACGATATGATGATGATCGGTTGTCAAAAATCCTCGATTCTTGGAATTGTTTTGCAGGCGTACGAGAAGGCTAATCGACTGGAAAAGATGGCTTTAGTCTTGGAAGGTCCTTTATATGATCATGTTCTCGTAAACCAGACATCGTGCACGATTCTTGTAAATGCGTATGTGAAGAATTGCTTGATCGATAATGCGATTAAAGTCCTGACCGAGAAGAAGTGGGTGGACCCCATGTTCGAGGAGAATTTGTACCATCTCTTAATATGTTCGTGCAAGGATTCAGGCCGTCTCGAAAATGCCATCCGAATATTCACCAGCATGCCAAAACCTGCTAAGCCGAATTTGGGCATTTGTTGCACCATGATAGATATCTACAGTAAAACGGGTGTTTTTTCTGAAGCTGAGAAGCTTTACACCCAACTGAAAGCCTTGGATGTGAAAATGGACATGATAGCCTTTAGCATCGTAATCAGAATGTATGTTAAGTCTGGTGCTCTGAAAGAGGCTTGCAGAGTTCTTGAAATAATGGATGAACAGAAGAATATCGTGCCTGATGTTTATCTTCTTCGGGATATGTTCCGCATATACCAGCAGCTCGGCATGGATGATAAGCTGTCGAGCTTGTATTATAAAGTCTTGAAAAACGGCCAGATTTGGGACGAGGAGATGTATAATTGCGTTATAAACTGTTGTGCTCGTGCATTGCCTGTGGATGAGCTTACAAAGCTCTTTGATGAAATGCTTAGTCGAGGGTTTTCCCCAAACACCTTCACCTTCAATGTAATGCTTAATGCTTACGGAAAATCGAAGCTGTTTGAGAAGGCGAAAAGGGTATTCGGGATGGCAAAAAAACGGGGCTTGATTGACGTCATATCTTACAATACCATAATCGCCGCTTATGGGAGAAATAAATACGTGAAGAATATGTCTTCGGCCATCAAGAAAATGCAGTTCGACGGGTTTTCAGTTTCGGTTGAAGCCTATAACTGCATGCTTGACGCGTACGGGAAGCAAGGGGAGATGGATAAATTCAAAAGCGTTTTGCAGATGATGAAGGATTCTAATTGTTCGCCCGATAACTATACTTATAACATCTTGATCAACGTATATGGCCAACAAGGGTGGATCGAAGAAGTTGGTGGAGTGTTGATGGAGTTAAAGGAGTGTGGGGTGAGACCCGATTTGTGCAGCTACAACACGTTGATAAAAGCATATGGGATTGCAGGCATGGTAGAGGATGCAGTGGATTTGGTCAAGGAGATGAGGGAAAATCGAGTCGAGCCGGATAAGATAACTTATCAGAATCTAGTTACTGCATTGAAGAGGAATGATATGTTTCTTGAGGCTGTAAAGTGGTCCTTGTGGATGAAGCAGATGGGGTTTTAATGCTTTGTAAGTTTGTATAGCATGCATTTTGTCTGTTTTGTTTGTTGTAACTTTTTTCTCTCTACAATTTATTGAGAATTTAGTCATTTACTGTCCTCTTCATTTTGTATTATCATTACATGTAGTAATCAAGAAATATACAGTCAAATCTTTCACTCAGAAAGTAGTTTCCTCTTCTTTTATTCCTCTCACATGTTCTTAAAGCTTCCTCCCCTTTGCCCATTGTTATCATTACTGAAAAAATGTACAATATATGAAACACTAATGAAAAATTTTCATGTCCTATAGACAAAATCAAGAGATATATACACAAACCAAACCAAACACAGCTTAGTTAATTCATCATTCGCCTCCTAAGTCCTACCTAAATCTCATTCTCTTCGAAGACCCTTCTCTTGCATTCACCTTTCTCCTCCTTCGCTCCTCTTTGCTGTCCGATTCATTCCCTTTCTCCCTATCTGCATCGCTAGCCTCCCTCTCCAGCTCCTCCCATGTCTTCCCCTCTTCCTCCACGTCATCATCCTCGTCATCATCTTCAGACTCGACAAGTGCCTCGCTGTCCGAGTCATCATCATCATCATCCTCAGACTCCGACTCGGGCTCAACATCCGACGGCTCGTAACCCTGGTCCGATTCGGACGAGTCATCCGCGTTATCCGAGTCCGTGCCTTCCATGTTCAGAAACTCCCACCCGCCTTCATTTACAAACTCCTGAGGGTCATCCGTAAACTTCTTCAGTATCGGACGCCAGTTGAGGTTAAGCCGACTCTCGTAATACTTGATATCAGTCGTGTCCAGCCACTCCTTAATCCCGTCGAACGAGCTGAACGGGATGGAATCAATCCGCATCACGTCCCTTTTGAAGTCCTTGAACACAATCGCCATGTCAAAGTTCTTCTGGGCCAGCCGGACCCGCTCCAGGTTAACAATCTCGATATCGTCAAGCGAAATCACAAGGAAGGGGGTTTCAATCAGCTCAACAAGGCAGGCCGAGGTGGGAACTATGAAAACCGACGACTTGAAGGGAACTCCATGAAAACCGAGCTCTCTCACGGGCTGGTCGAACTCTAGGCCCAGGCTACGTAGTTGGGCCTGGGCCCACATCTCATTCACCCGGCCCACAAATTGCTGAAAATCCGCGTTTATCTTGTTCTTTCGGTCACGTTCCCTCTGCTCCTCCTCAATCTCGTCTGGGTCATATGCCGACTTTTTCCTTCCCCCAATATTCTGGACCGTCTCCATGACCTCCACGTAAAACTGGACATCTTTAGTCTTCTTGTTCCGAACCATTATATGGTCGTGGAGATTGAAATGAACGAGGGTGATCATTTCCTTTTCGGCCGTCTGGAAAAACGCGTGCTTTATGTTGCCGTACATTATATCCACACGCTCGTCAGCTCTACAAGTCGAGTAACGAAAACCGTTCTGATGTGCCTCGAGTGTTCCGGTCAGTTTCCTCCCGAACGCGGGGCGTATAAACAGGTTGTGCAGCTTTATCGGCTTCAACTTTTTCCCGGAGAGTAAAACGAGCTTCTCTTGGGCGACAAGGGTAGCTCGATCAGCTTGCTCAGACTCCCGAGCCATCACGTTGCGCCTGAGCGTCTTTATCAGCTGGACTATCTCGTTTATGTGCCTCGAGTCCTTTGACCGGAAGGAGATCTCTTTCAGGTAAACGGCACTCTGATGGGTTGTTGTTCCGGGAAGATTAAATACGATACGAACGTAACAGCTTCGATTCGTGTCTTGCTGGCTTGTGGCGGTTTTCACAGTCGACACATGGAAAGAGACCATGCAGCCGTATACGGGAATAAGGATGGACTCGTTTTTCTGGTCGACTTGAATCGTCATCATATCTCGCATAAACGGGAGCTCATTCATGCTCTTGTATGCAATCCGAGCATTCACACCACCCGACTCAACTCCGGCAAGGCGCCGGGCAGTCTCCTCGTTTGTCCGGCAAGCAAGTTTTGCCTGGTGCTGCTTTCGGAGCTCCTCCTTGGACAGCTCACCGTTGTCGGATCTGAGGGTTGCTTTGGAGGAGGACACGAATTCTTCAGACTTTGCTTTCTTTCTCAGCGGCTCGTCAACATCGTCCTCCTCTTCTTCGTTGAACGAGTAAGCGACGTCCTTAAATGATTTCGAGCTGGCTGACGTGGCGACGTCACGTCCGCCGTCCGTCACGAGAACCGTATCGGCGAGCAGCATCGAGAAATTCTGGGCTTTCGGGTTTTTTTTCGTCGTCTTCGCCTCTAGATTCTGAAAACCGATCGAAACATTAAGTGCCATCCCAGCTTTCAGCACTTTCTCGTTCTTCGCATCGAGACTCAGCCCAGACTCACGGAACTCGAGACCGATGCCTGTCCCGGCAGATTTCGTCAGGTTTGGGAGAAATTCAGGGGCATCGGTTTTCACCACTGAGAGAGCAGCCTCGTAGATTACACGGGCTTTTTTCCCGGGCCTCACTGCAATAATAGCAGCCTCATGGGCCCAAAGAAGGACTCTATACGCCTTGCTCTGCACTGCATCCGAGTTAATAAGGTAAGTCCTGGCGATATTCGAGCAGTAGTTATTGTAGCGGGACCCGACAGAGCAGATGATGATGCTGGACGAATCATAGTAGAGATACTCGTCATTGCTCGATGCACTTGGGCGGAGGTCAAATTTGCCTCCACTCTGAAAAATCGGAGGATAACATATATCCACATTTTCAGCTTTCAGTTTCAGGCCGATTTTTGCAGGGTCGAGTAAGGCCTTTTCCGTGTCGTTCGTAAGTGAGGCGTGCGTCACTTTTTTCTCCTCGTCGATCGCCTGCTCGATTTTCGGGACCACGAAATTCTTCACGGTGAAGGCGGTTAAGTACGCAGCCTTCTTTATGTAGGCGATTTCGTTTTTGTCCTTCACGGAAAAAAGATCGAAAAGCCCACTGGCTATATCGGTCAGTGCAAAACCTGTTTTTTTCAGTTTTTCGGACCACGTCTCGAGGAATTTCCCTTCTGGAGGTTCTCTGGCTATGCATCCGACTGTAGGGGCATTACGGTCATTCGGCTTGGATTCCGAACGGATAGCGTGGAGAATCGAATCCATCTGATTGCTCCCGTTTTCGTTTTTCGCCTTGACGTGCATGATAACATCCAAAGACAATGATTCTTTAGCGGGTTTTTTAATGGTCTCTAGCAAAGACGCTTTCTTTTGGCTGCACAGTAAATGGATTTGTTTGTCACCAAAAACCATGATTGTCTCGGGGAACTCATAACCGAGCAGCCATATGTTGAGGGAAGAGGATTTTAAGTAGCGCAAATCTTCTGAAGGAGGATATGTGGCCACGACAAGGTAATTTGACGAACCCCATAGCTCGTTTTTGTGCTCGCGCCAGTTTGCATAGAGAGCCTGCAGTCTCTTGGTGAAGGTATTCAAGTCAATGGTGTATACACTGTGATTCGAGTTGCATTTTTCAGCCATTTGCACCTGTTTTTGGTTATTTAATCGAGTCATTATTCATATGAACAGGCAAAATAGAGAATGAAATTAGAATCAACAACATAGTTATTCCTCATTCTGCATAATGAATGTAAGATATATAAACTCAGTTAACGAATTGCAATCAGCAGCTTATTTTCATCATATATCATTGTGCCATGCCTTATGTTTCAGATCAAACAAATAGAACTTCCTTGGATATGACAAAAACAATTTCAAGGCATCATCGACATACAAAAGGTTAAAAAAGGGATACATTCATGCCCAGTAACATAATGTATCAAATTTTCCAAGCATCTGCAGTTAACATCTTCAAATTCAAGGTTCAGTAAAAATTAGGGTTCCATCAACTTAAACCAATAGCTATATAATCATGAAAGCAATAGCACAGATTACAAAAATTCTGAAAAAAAAAAGAAAAGAAAAAGAAAAAACATTCATGTTCAGCAGAGAACGAAATTTAAGATTCAGGGTATCAATAAAAATCAAATCTTCATTCATTACCTTCTACAAAAAAGTTCTAATCGAAGAGGTTCGGTAAAACTTAGGGTTCCATCAACTTAAACCACTGGCTACAACGTCATAAAAGCAAAAACACAGATTACAAAAATTCGAAAAATAAAATAATAATAAAAAAAACAAAAACAAAACGAAACGAAAACATTCCCGATTCCAGAGAACGAAATTAAGATTCAGCGTATAAATAAAAGTCAAATCTTCATTCATTACCTTAGACAACAACGTCCTAATCGAAGAAGGTATCGGCAAGAAACTAACAATCAATTGAGTCAGAAATCCTCCTTGGTGCTAAATATGGCTTTATGAAAACCACCGACTTCAGCTTCTTGGCGGCGCAAACTGAAAATTAGGGTTAGGGTTGCTCGAGAAGAAAAAGGGAAAAAGGAAATAAGAAAAAAAACCGGAGATGTTTAAGAGATCAAGCGGCAGAATCTCCGACTAGAGATGCTCGAGAGAACAAATCAATTCAATATAAAAAATATGTACAAATTTCAAATTTCTCAAGGATTTTTACGAAGATTGAAGACATCAAACAATACGAAATTCGTGAAGAGATTGATACTATGGCAGCCCGGCTCGCGCTAACGGCTTTGTATCTGTGAAAGGAAAAAGGAGGGAAAAAGACGCGATACTTTATAGTGANAATAAAAAAATAAAAAAATAAAAAAAATATATAATCTGACTTCAAAATACGCAACCAATATATATTAGTATAGACTATCCAATTGTGCAAATGAAAAAAAAAAATTACTCCTTTTCTTAACGGGAAAAGTCCAAAAGTGGTCCTTCATATTTAGGGGTATCCAGACTGAGTCTCTATTATGTTTTAGTGCCCAATTTTGGTCTTTAAAACAAACAAATGTAGTCCCTATAATAAGGAAAGTTCACTTTTGGTCCTCCATGTTTAGGGAGTATCCAGACTGAGTCTCTATTATGTTTTGGTGCCCAATTTTAGTCCTTAAAACAAAAAGATGTAGTCCCTATAATAGGGAAAAGTCCACTTTTGGTCCTCCATGTTTAGGGGTATCCAGACTGAATCCCTATTATGTTTTGGTGTCCAACTTTAGTCCTTAAAACAAAAAAATATAGTCTCTTTACATCAATTTCTGTGAATTAACGGTCCATTTTTGCTCGACCGTTATGTTCTTTATTTTTTTTAAAATTTGTTGACTAATGTCAACTTTGACCAAAGAAAAATAAAAGAAAATTTAAATGCTGAAAAGTAAAAGAAAAAGCAGAAATGGTGAATTACAGTGAAAGGTAGAAAAAAAAATCTAACCGCCTAGGGACTAAATCCGATCAAGTGGATGGAAATGGTATGGTATTTTGTAGATGTGGGCTGGTTGCAAAGTTGACTACATGCTGGAAGGATGATAATCCCAGTCCTGTAAGTACTTTCCGTGAACTTCAATTGGAATACCCCTTTCTTCTTATTTATTGGACTGATGAAAAGAAATTGTTAAAAAAACAGAGGGTTGATAGGTGCAATTTTTTTCGATGGCATGACCAGGAAATGGGTGCAAGAGCAGTAGCCGTGATTCCAGACTTGCTCCGTAGCGCGAATGCTAGGGAAATAGAAATCAGACGAGCAAAAATTTTAAAAAATAAAGAACATCACAATCGAGCAAAAATGGACCGCTAATTCACAGAAATTAAGGTAAAGAGATTACATTTTTTTGTTTTAAGGACTAAAATTGGGCACCAAAACATAATAGGGACTCAGTCTGGATACCCCTAAATATGGAGAACCAAAAGTGGACTTTTTCCTATTATAGGGACTACATTTTTCTGTTTTAAGGACTAAAATTGGGCACCAAAACATAATAGGAACTCAGTCTGGATACCCCCTAAACATGGAGGACCAAAAGTGGACTTTCCTTATTATAGGGACTACATTTGTTTGTTTTAAGGACTAAAATTGGGCACTAAAACATAATAGGGACTCAGTCTGGATACCCCCTAAACATGGAGGACCACTTTTGAACTTTTCCCTTTCTTAATTGATTATATAGAAAAACAGTTATATTTCAAATTAATTAAGTATAATAATATTTTTTAAATATTTTATCATATAATAAGTAATGCAAGTACTGGCTAATTAGAAATTCAATTTAATGTGAAAGTTACACACACACAAAAAATAAAAATAAAAATTCAATGTTATGTGCTAAAATGCTATTACTTTCTTGATATTACATATATAAATATTAAAAAAAATTAATATCAAACTAATGTTTGCTAATACTTCTGCTCACGAATATATCGTTCTTGATCAAACAATGATGAAAAGAAAAGCATTGTTAAAACACCATTTATCATTATTTGTCCAGAAAGATAATAAAGTAAACTATACAAAGCAGGAAATAAGACAAGATTAGTAAAATCTTAACCAAAAAAAAAAATCTTTGGTGCACAAGATTTGACCTTTGGTTCCACATCCCACATTGAGAACAGGATATGTTCCAGCTCTTACCTAAACAAAAATATTTTTGTTACTTTTTGCTTTTTATGACCACATCAAATTGTTCAACCAGATCTTATTATGATCATTAGTCATTGATTTGAGTTCATTTGCAGTTTTATCATTTTAGAATCTAGACAATTGTTACATGTCAGGCATGTTAAGCCAATCATGTTCCCAGTGTCTTCTTGTTGTTTGATTCTATGGTTGTATAAGTACATAATACCTGAAAAACGACCGCATCTCGATGTTCGACATTCTATGTTTTGTACAGCTGAAACGCGAAATTTGTGTAAAAGCACTTGGCACTGCATTAGGATCACTATATTCTCTTATTTTTGTGAATTTGGGTGAAAATGGTAAGACCGACTTTTGTACAGTGATTACAATCATGACTTGCGTTCTTGTTACAGAGCAGCCTCAGCTGACCAGTGAATCTAGCAGCACAGCATTTGTCGACACAACTTTCATGTTACTCCAATCTTAAGCTGTTCTCAGTCACATGCATCAATTCCAATTCTGATTAATCCCTAGATTGATATTCAATCGAAATAAGCCATCAATTGAATATGGTTTTTGTAGGTTATCAGCAGCCCAAATTAGTGACAAAAAGCAAAAATTTTACCAAGCCATCATATGAATATGCTTGTACATGACTTGTACTAAAACATCCTCAAAAAATCCACCAAAGTTGTTCTGCCTGTGTGCTTCCTTATGCTAGTATCAGCTCTTAGTGAAGTAGTATTTTTTACACTTTCTCTTTCTTCTGTTATGTGTTCTTTGCTTGTTATGCTTGTTAAGCCAAACCTCTTATATGTTCTTTGCTTGTTCTTGCTTGTTGCTACTTGATTCTACTGTCATTTTGACTGAAAAATAGCCATAGCCAAACCCATTAATGTGTTCTTTGAATGGACTAGAATTCACTATCAGAGCAGCTAACAAAACTCATGCATACTTCATTTTAATTTTGTTGTATATATGAATCTAAGCTTGTTCTCATTCAGCTACATTGGTTTAGTTGAATCTCTACACTGAAATCCAGCCCAACAAGCCATCAATTGAAAGTGGTTTTTTGTAAAATTTGTAGCAGCTCAAACCAGTGTTTTCTCTAACAGAGTTAGCTATTGGAACTGCAATCAGTAATATACAAAAACTAAAAAACCAAAAGGTACCACTTAATTTACTCAAAAGTTTCCATTTTATTCACTCACTTTCCATTGCACATACTCAGACTCCACCAGACTCAAAAATACACAGAGAAAATTCAATATCAAATCACATGTATTCCATGACAAGACACAACAACAAATCATGTGTTCTTACATAACATAATCGGTGATTAACCGGAGATGTCAATTGCCTTGACCTCAGGCTTCTTCACCTCCTCTTTAGGAACCGTCACCGTCAGCACCCCATCCTCCATGGCCGCTTTCACCCGGTCCAATTTCGCATTCTCCGGCAGCCGGAAACGGCGGAGGAACTTTCCGGAGCTCCTCTCCACACGGTGCCACGTGTCGCTCTTCTCCTCCTTCTCCTTGCTCCTCTCCCCGCTAATCTGCAGAATCGAGTTGTCCTCGACCTCGACCTTCACCTCCTCCTTCTTCAGTCCGGGCACATCCACCTTGAACACGTGCGCCTCCGGCGTCTCCTTCCAGTCGATCCGCGTGTTCGCCACCGCCGAGGCTTCCCTGGCGGAGGATGGCGGATTCGCGACGGCGCTCGAGAAGGGGAAGCCTTCAAATGGATCCCAGATGTCCAGCGAAAACGGGTCGAACACGTTGCTCCGGCGGTTGCCAAAGAATCTCGGAATCAGAGACATTTTTCACTGCGAGATTTGCTTCGATTGATCGATGGAGAATTGAATTATGCTTTTCGGAATTTTGATTGAAACAATTGGTTGAAAGGAGGAGAAGAATTTATAGGGATAAGTGGGCGCGTCTGGCACCTGCTAGTAATTTCTGTTTCGAGAAGACGCTTTTTTAAGGAAGTTTCTAGATAGAGCTGGTGCTTCGGACTTCTTTCTTTCGGAAGCTTTCAGAAGTTTCTATATAGTGAGTGTTGTGTTTGGGCCATTGAGAACACTCTTATAAACGAGCAACAATACATATCATAATGATAATTACGGTAGACTAGAGCCTAGAGCATTGGGCTTATTGCAAATAAGTTATTTTGATTTTTTGATTAAATTTGTTGAAATAATCAGAGTTAATTTTGAATAAGTTGATTAAGTTAAGTTTGAGTGAGATTTTGTATTTGTGTTAAAATAATATTCAAAGTATAATAATTAAAGTTGATTTGATAGAAAAATAAAGGACAGATGACTGAAATAATATGTAATTAAAATTTTATAAATTGATGAATAGTTAATTAAAGCTGGTGTGATGCATATGAATGATTAATTAATATTATTTTAATAATATTGAGGAATTTTGTGTTGAGTTAAAATATTATTTGGGTGTTTCAACTCATTACAAAACTAAGGACGTGTTTGGATACAAATATATACGTTCAAAATGAGTTTCTTTTTTTTTTTTAACCAGTGTTAAATTTGAAAAATAGGGCATAGTTAGTTGTTATGATGATTTTGAGTTTATATTAAAATACTATTTAAAATAATATATTTTAAATTTAATTTGATATAAAAGTAGGTGAAATAAGATGAATTAGTTAAAATTATGTGAGCAGATAAATATTATTTAATTATATTAATAATATTAAGAATAGTGAAATTGAATTAAAATTTTGATTATGAATTGAGTTTATTTATACACACACCCTAAAGATGCTTGGATACAAGTTATCCCAAAAAAAATTCAATCATTTTTAACCAATTACTTTTGTTTAACTCAAATCTAACTCAACTTTAATACTATCTTCAATTTATTAATAAGAAAAATTAACAAAATCCTACATAAATTACCCAAAGAAACATGAATTTTGGAGAACAAAATCCATCAATGTCCTTTATATTTCCATTCCAAGAACACCAAGACGAAAAACAAATTCCAATTGTACAGAATTTGATAATATAACACAGAACACACGTTGTATACATAGTAGACTCACCAGAATAATCGACAAAAAAAACTACGTATTTGTACAATATTTATATATACAACTGAACTCTTCCGGAAAACCATGGCTTTTCCTCCTCTCTCATGTCCCAAAAAGTGCACATTTGTGCACACGAGCAACAATCACAACAATGCATAGTGCCATATCAAAGAAAAGCACGCAACTCGAGTTGGAAGCTCAAAAGCTCGATATATTTTTCCTTAATGTCTCAGAAGTCTGTGCATGAAAAGTTCACGAAAGCCCGAGGCATTGGACTTTGTACCGAAGCCAGGGAAGTTAGGGGAAAAAAAAACCTTTCTTTCGTGACGAACAATCCAAAATTGTAGTCTTGTAAGATTGTGGATTAGTTGAAAAAGTATGGAGATTCAAAAACTTGGTTGAGATCAAAGTCTCCTCTATCTGGCAGAGGTGGAAATGTGAGTGTTGGATATGATGTCTCGAAGCTCTCGAGCAGCTGTATGAAAAAGTTAGAACTTTTGTAACATCGTAAAAATATAGATATTAAAAAAAAAAAAAAAGTAAAATACTTTTGACTGAACTTCGCTTCGAAAAGTTCGTTGGGTACGAAAGCGAAAAGTGAATCAAAGGGAATGGTCTCCTGAATATGGATAGAAAGAAGCACTTTCCCTCGATCCCAAAATGTCATTTTCAGCACGAAAATTTTAATAGGTGTCGTTTCAAGATTCCAAGGATAGAATTGCCCAAAATCTTTGGAATTCATCCATAAGCAATACAAGCCTCAGAAATATGTCATTAACTTTATAGATTATTTTTAAATGCATGATTTTTTTTTTGACAGATGAAGTACTTGTCAAAAAAAAGAAGGCAAAAATGCATTCTTAGTGCTGTTGGTTTGACACCATATCAATTTTAGTCACAAGATTCTAACTTTTCGCATTTTAAATTACAGGACTGAAATTGAAACAAAATTTTAAATTACAGGACTTACTAATCGAAAATCTGGGAATTTGAAATCACAGGACCAAAAGAAAAGGTGAAATGTTGGAACCTTACGACTAAAATTGCTATGGCGTGAAACCAGCAGGTATAACAATGCAAAAAAACACAACAACATACCCAGTATATTCCCAACAGGTTGGGGTCTGGGGGTCAGTTGTACGCAGACCTTACCCTTGTAATTATACAAGGAGGCTGTTTCCGTAGCGACCCAAGGTGCATTGCGCCGTTTGATATATTTTTTTTTTCTAGAAACTTCACTAATAGAAGAAGCACTAGAATTTAATTGAGCCATTTTGATCTAGTCCATTATTAGCACTATGCCAGGAGAATTGTCAACAATGACTCTTCCAGCTCCATTTGCAATGGACAACAGGTTTAACAATGCAATTTTGTCAAAAAAGAATCCCGACAGTAAAAGAAACATTAACAAATGAACTGAAATAAATAATACGATATACAAAATACAGGGAAACAAAATACAGGGCCTGGCCATTTAGTGCAAAACACACACACAAAAAAAGAACCACTTGAGGTGGATTTAGTGCTTACGTTTTCAAGTATCGGCATATTATATAGATCCACAAACTTTTGTCTCAGAATCTTACTCATTCTATCAACATCGCATGCATGTGTCCAGAACGAGTCATGCACACCTGCATCACATTCCAAAGAGTATGCATTTAACATTTACAGCAAATGTCACTTCACTTGTGAAAGTCTTCTTATAATTGTTTGTTTCGTTCTAAACACACGAACATGAACCATCGGCTTAGTGGAGAGAGAGAGAGAGAGAAACCTGCAAAACGCAATCCAGCATCTCGGCATGCAATGGCAGTCATCATCATGTGTGAGCCATCAAGTGAGTGCACAAAGTTGGGAGGAAATGCAGTTCTCTGCTTTTTTACCTCAACCTAGGATCAATTTTCCCAATATGATTTTTTTTTTTTTTCTCATTTTAATGGTGATTAGCAATTTATAATAATATGGAGGGAAGAGTTTGATCCAAACATACCGAATTACCCTCGCGTTTTAAAGTTAAAATCTGGAGATAGGTTCTTACCTGCATTCAAACAGGGTTATATTAGTAATTAGCAAGTAGTAATCCCATTCCCAATATGATAAACCATGACAAGCTATTACAGAGTATTTAGTTTTTCTTTATCTAATTTTGCTTTTGCTTCGTAATTAGATTTCTCTATATCAATCCCCAATTGTTTATGTGCTCTCAAATTAATACAAAAATTATCACATTTTATCTGCTTTCAAATGGAAAAGTTCTCATTTTTAAGAGTTCAACAGATATCATGAGGAGCTTGAGCAGGTNGAATAATACAATATTATGAATTATACAATATTATGAATTATTTATTTACCATGAGATAATTTGTTTGAGCCAATGTTATCTTGTAATTACTATGGCAAATTGATTGTCATACTACAATTAAATGTTAAGACTTGAAGATCAATATTTTACAGAATGTAATAAAAGACTTACTGCACAAAGCCGAGTTTTGAAGTATGGTTGTACGACAGGTAAGCCGAGTGGTGTTGTCCAACGTACAGGTTCATTTTCTGAAGCAATAATCTGTCAAATAACATCACATAACAATAACAACTTTATAAAAATCAATACAGAAATTACTAGCTTCCCACTCTAATTCATTATTATCTTTTGTTTAGCAAAACCTTAGCACAGTCACCAAGCCATCCCATAATTGCTCGTGCAGCTTGAAATAGCTCTTCAAGGGCTGCCAATGTCACCTGCAAGTTTTCAATGTTCAAAGCATGTAAGGCTGTGATTGGAAATAATTTTTTCAAAAAATTTAGTCCTATCCGGATATAGAGATGAAAAAGTGAAAAAAAGTTGTTTCGTACAGAATGAAAGATAAATATCGGGATTGTGAATGGATATAAATTAAAAATGTAACAATTAAAGCTAATGTGATATGAAATAATAATATATTAATTTATAAGATTTGTAATTAGAAATATGTGACTGAATGAANTCTTCTCTTTATCTGTTCGCGTGCACCGATATAAGTAACACCATATACTGAGGTCATCACAGTCTGTTTGACTAGTTTTCTATCCACCTGATAAAGATTTCAAACATTCAAGTTCTTGATATTCATGATATGTCCTAAAAGCTTGAGAGAGAGAGAGAGAGACTAACTGTGGGGAAAGAAAAAATCACCTGACCAATCAAGAGTTTGGCTAGCAAAGCGTTTGGATGATCTGCTGGGTCCTTTTCGCTGTCTCTTTTCATGATATTATGAACCCTGATTAAAAAAAAAAAGAAATATTCCTATCTGAAAATAGAAGAAAAAGAAAAGGAAACAGATGCACGGCAAAATTATACCATCACAAAGACATAAGGAGCACAAAGAGGAGGAGCATCATTCATCAACTCAAAATCATACAAAAATGTATACATCAACTCAACAAACCTCTCTGCAATTTCTGAGTAAACATCGGCAGGTTTGTCTCCAGCAACTAAATTGACTGCAGCAGCTTCAAACTGAAAATAAACCAAATCAAACTCTTTAAGGAACCATAATCATATAGCTGGAAAGAACCATCTGCTAGCAATATCATGCTTATTTCACTCATTTCATTAAAATCATTAAAACAAATAAGGATTATTGTTACTTGGAACCTCATAATTAATAATGTTTCAAGAGACATAATCAATATGTAGTATGAAAACAGACATGAGTGGAAAAGTATGACATACACTATTCCTTCCAAGAGCGGCATAATGTTGCAATCCATTGCATGATCCATCCTACAATAGAAAAAAGAATTACAATTCACAACATAATCAAATGTAAATAGCAGTACAAAAATCACATAAGGGAGTGAACTGATACTTTGTAATGTACTCAGAAAAAAAAACACGGGACTTGTCAACTTGGAACAGTATTTGTTTGATATTTTAACAGCACAACAAATTATTTCAGGGACTTTAAGCTCTTGTTAGGAGTAACGGAAATCTTCGTATCACTATATTATGTGCATCGAAATCTCACATACTCCCAAAATTTCAAGAAGCTACAATATGAGCTTCAAACAAAGTTCTTTTCTCATAAAACTTCTTATCTTATCCTTCAAAAAGACATCTTTCTTCAGTAATTTCCAAAATTTTACAGAAAATAAGCATCTAAAGGCGTGTCGGTGTGTACCAGATGAATGGGTAAGTGGGAAATAACAGTGTAAGGGGATGAGCTTCTTAAGGCTTCAGAGAGATTAATGCATGCGGCTAAGCACTGAAAAGGATCTTCAGCCTTCAACCACCATCGATTTCCATTCAAAGAATTATCGGCAGAGTCAAATATTTCTGCTAAATTGTTTTCCACAAACGAGAGGCGACCATCATAAGAAAGCTTATCAGCACCCCCACCATAGAGATTTGCTAAATGTACTTTTAACCAGTTTAAACCAGATCTCCCCAATGGCTTTCCTTCAGAAAATTCAAGTATTCCTCTGCAGAGATCAGAACTAAGATGATTAAGATGTGGGTGCATAGGGTATGCACGGCCTCGAAAGTCAAGATTGTGCGGGAAGTAAAACCCTTCCTCGTCTTTCAACTTCCGAGCAACCTGATTCACAAAACCCCAATTCAGAGTCCATGACAAAGGTCATTTTGAGGGGATTTATTTTAAACTCATTATTCTCTAGCAATGCTTAGGATTCATTAGAAAGCCTAATTTCTGTTTCTTTTAAGAATTCAAATTCAGACGTACAAATTAATCCTCTCTTTAGCAATAAAGCAACATATGATACTCTGTGTGTGTGTGAGAGAGAGAGAGAGAGAAAGTATGTGTATACTAAAAATGTATTAAAACGTTCTTGTTCGAATATTTGCTTTTGGATACATTTCTCAGCATGCATGCACTGAGTTGTCGTGTTTCCAATCTATAATTCAAGCTATCTCTGGTTGTTGTTTTATTATTATTATTATTATTATTATTATTATTATTATTATTATTATTATTATTATTATTATTATTATTATTTATTTATTTATTTATTTTTTGGTGTCCAACCAACCACTCTTTATTTCCTTTAGATTATCCAAAAACAACCCAAGTATGGGAACCTATTGCAAGAAAAAAAAAAATGATTTTTTTCTTAGAATGTCACATACGGAGAGCTTTAGTTCAGTGTCACATCTTTCAGCATGTCTTTCTCGATTGATTTTTTTCGCATTCCTCACACTCCATTTCCACTTCTTTACTTCCTCTGTATCATCCAAGAATAACTCAGGTATTGGAACCTATAGCAAGAAAAAATAATATTTACCAACACAGAAGATAAGCAATTAAGAAAATATAATAATAGGTAAAACATACAAGAGAACGAAAGACGTTCAAGGACTTACATCTTCACGGTTTACCATGCCAGCAAGGTTTCCACCTGATTCCCAAATGCTCTCGACCACGCCTAATATACGTTTATTCACTCTCCACTTGGTGCTTCCTAGAGTATCAAGGGCCTACATATTAAAGAAAAAACGAATATATTAACGCTCCCAAAAGCATATAAAAACAAGAAGAGAACACGAAGAAATTGTAAAGAGTGTTGGTTCAGTTGCATATATTATCGTATTGAAGAAAATTGTATTCATTAGCAAGTAAAATGCATTGATGCTATCCTTAATATGTCACGGGTTAAAAAATTATGAATGTGCAAATGTCCAAACTATACATTGTAAACTTTCTGCATTTGTTTTGAAGGAACGGCTTTGAGAGCTTCCTGTTGCTTCCGTGAGCCACGAGTACGCATTAAATAAGAAGGTAAAAACAGGTACCCACCCTTGTCGTACCTGAAAGGACGATTAAGATAATAAAAAATTGCCACAAATCAGTGATTGACAGACAATATACTTATTATCTCATCTGTTGAATCTTATTTTAATCAAACTCCACTCTTAATTTAGCTATATTTTAGATAGACGAGCTATAAAGAGCGACGTAATACCCCTTCCATTTCTTGGGTGGCACCAACATTGGCACATAAGGAATGGCCATATGTCTAACCTGCAGAAACCAGAAGCATTGAGATATCAAGAAAGTTCCAAAAGCTAGCATTTAATTTCAAGAAAACGGGAGGAACAAGGTAAAAAAAGCTTCAAATGAGCAATCTGAGCAAAAAACAGGTAAAACTCACAGCTTGATCAAGCCCAGAAAGAACCAGGGGATCACATTCTATGACTCCGCACTTCTTCACATTGTTCTTTCTGAAGGAGCCAAAAGATCACTATTAATACACTGACAAGGTTATTAACATAAATGAACTTGGACAAAAACTAAAAGTGATGGTGTTCGCTATAAAACATTGATCACATGACTTCTAATGATATACACAACATCTAATGTTGACCATGATACATTTACAGAACATATAAAATAGCAGTACTTCAAGTAAAATTCTAACCCCGATCCTCTCTTCAATAAGTGCTTGAATGCAGGGCGAACATCAGGGGGGCTATCAGCTGACTGATCAACGGGTGGTTGTACATAAGCACTTTGAATTAACAGTTGTAAAAGACAACATCCCAACTGCACAACATAGACATAACTGCTCATACACAATAGACTTAAGGTATTGAATTTTATGAAATCAACACACAACAATACTGTGTATTTGTGTATATACTAGAGGCTCCAAACCTTAGCCTGAGCATTCTGACCCCATGACTTAACCTCACTTCGGACAAGTTTTTCGACTTCAATGACACGGTTGCTTCTGATTAAACTCTGCACACGATTTCTCAAAATTGTATCTTCCTTACTGAAATCTACCTGGCTTACATCAGTATCTTCTATACCCCGATGTTTTTTTGTTTTCTCCAATAAATAATGAATTTTAACCTGTGGAACAGAACCCAAAC